AGGTCGATCGATAGCAGACAAATAAGATCATACTAATTTTCTACATTGCAATCATGTATAACTACGTATTATTTTATTTTATTTTACCATTCTGTAAATATATTACCTTTGCATTCTAGGAAAATGAAAGAAATTTTCTTTGAAATTTTACGGAATGAAGGAAACATTATTCATTGTAAGGCTATATTTAACATAAACTTATTAAAAGCAGTTTACTGCGGATTTACAAGTAGATTATATAAAGTAAATGACCAAGATTATATTCATTAAAATAAAAGATATAACCGGTGTATCAATTTGTAATCAGTAAAATTAGTGAAATTTTACACTAAAATCTGTATTCACCGGCAAAGAAACCATTCATTTAGAGATCTTAATACTCAATAACGAAGAATTAAATATATTCATTATTCAGGAAGCTCCCATTATAAGTATCCTTTATGAATGTAGAAATTTATATTTATTAATCAGTTTCATATGCTGAGTGCAAGTAGAAAAGATCCAGATCATATAGGTGTGTCATTCCATTCTCAATGTACCATAAGGTTGACAATCGAATGAAGTCGCTTTTCAGAAGATGAATCCTTATAAATAAACTGTGATAACTGGATGAGGGAGAAAGAAGGCTGTTGTATTATAGACTGAGAAACTACAAGGGAGATTAATGATGATCAAAACTTCAACAAAATATAAGAATAAACGATTCCCATAAGGAACGGAAATGTTCATATATTCTGTAAACCAGTCCGAATTCACTGCCATAATTAACCATCGGTAAATACAATTACATGTAGTCAAGGTTTTTCAGGACTTGACGAGATACCGTATTCGGGAATAATGCAATGCATCATGGACATATCCACAAACTTCTACTTCACGATTATTAAGCAATATCGTTCGTTGTTCTAGATATCTATTTATTATCAAATAAAAATGATATTCGATCACTGAATAACAATCTTATTTGAAATTATCTTACACTATTATAAATACTCTAGAAATCTGCCCCCCCTAAAGACGTAAACCATTGGTAACAGTGATTTGAAATTCGAAAATTTGCATCACCCTAAAATACTATGTCAACATCTATTTTAATTTCCAAGTGAATTAAAAGACTAATTTCATTTAAAAAAGCATTAATAACTTTATTTATTGTTTAAATTTCTGATTACATTGTGTTGACAAGTTGTCGAAACTGTACTCCTAGTCGTTGATTTCTTGATCCACATCCATATAAGTGTGTTTGGTTATTTGGATCCCGAACATTTGTCGCCACATTTACAATTGCCAGAGGTGCAGTCACAGGTCGATCCGCAACCACATTTTCCTTCACAGCAGTCTTCAATAAATAAAATATTCAACCAATCATTTAGAGCAAGAATTTCGATAAAAGAAATTACAAAACTTCATGAAACATCAATGTTATAATGTCCAACTATTTCGAAATAATCTTATCCCTCAGTCAGCATGGAACATAGACAAACCCTCCAGTAAATAAGTTGAAGCATCGCTTTCTCTACTCAATATTGAACCTCAAATAAATAACTGATGTTAAACACTCTAACTAGACATAGTGTGTTGAGTTTGTTGTAATCATAATAATATTGGTAGTAGCCACGATAGGTTTTTTATAAGTTGATATGGAAAATTCTGATCAATAGGTGAGTGAACACAATGAGAATATTGACAATCAGTGCTTCATTCCTATCTGGCAACTATCCACATTTCCTCCGCTCCACTACTAATGCTCTAGATGGTATGAGAAAAATTTCATGAAAATTATCATAAGTGGTAGGAACTAATTGAGAGCAGTTCCATATGCGAGGCTTCATCATCTACTACACACTGCATTTGGAATACAGAGAAGAGCATAAATTATCGACCATTGCTATCATTGTCATTGCTAACAAGTTCAAATCCTGAAGGAAATCTAGGATTAGCAGTCCCATACTCATAGTCATCACCATTAAACATATTACAATATACAATATTGAGTTTACTTACCAGACATTGTATCAGCTCAAATGTATCAATTGTGCAATATTTATGACACGTTTATTTTCATTTATATACAATTCCTTCAGTGTTTCACATAAAACCAGTGCATTTTCACATTTTTGGAATTTAAGTTTTAGTCAATCAATATTTGTTAGGTGAATATCGTATACTCTTATAATGTGTGAATAATCGACGGACAAATCCGACATTTCGGTTGTATGTGAAATGATTGACTGATCATATTGTGGGTACAAACTGGTGAGAAAATAATGGAGTTAATCCATTTTCTGTGTTCGTCATATTGTCACATACATATCAAAGTGCAATATTCACCTAACAAATATTGATTGACTAAAACTTAAATTCCAAAAATGTGAAAATGCACTGGTTTTATGTGAAACACTGAAGGAATTGTATATAAATGAAAATAAACGTGTCATAAATATTGCACAATTGATACATTTGAGCTGATACAATGTCTGGTAAGTAAACTCAATATTGTATATTGTAATATGTTTAATGGTGATGACTATGAGTATGGGACTGCTAATCCTAGATTTCCTTCAGGATTTGAACTTGTTAGCAATGACAATGATAGCAATGGTCGATAATTTATGCTCTTCTCTGTATTCCAAATGCAGTGTGTAGTAGATGATGAAGCCTCGCATATGGAACTGCTCTCAATTAGTTCCTACCACTTATGATAATTTTCATGAAATTTTTCTCATACCATCTAGAGCATTAGTAGTGGAGCGGAGGAAATGTGGATAGTTGCCAGATAGGAATGAAGCACTGATTGTCAATATTCTCATTGTGTTCACTCACCTATTGATCAGAATTTTCCATATCAACTTATAAAAAACCTATCGTGGCTACTACCAATATTATTATGATTACAACAAACTCAACACACTATGTCTAGTTAGAGTGTTTAACATCAGTTATTTATTTGAGGTTCAATATTGAGTAGAGAAAGCGATGCTTCAACTTATTTACTGGAGGGTTTGTCTATGTTCCATGCTGACTGAGGGATAAGATTATTTCGAAATAGTTGGACATTATAACATTGATGTTTCATGAAGTTTTGTAATTTCTTTTATCGAAATTCTTGCTCTAAATGATTGGTTGAATATTTTATTTATTGAAGACTGCTGTGAAGGAAAATGTGGTTGCGGATCGACCTGTGACTGCACCTCTGGCAATTGTAAATGTGGCGACAAATGTTCGGGATCCAAATAACCAAACACACTTATATGGATGTGGATCAAGAAATCAACGACTAGGAGTACAGTTTCGACAACTTGTCAACACAATGTAATCAGAAATTTAAACAATAAATAAAGTTATTAATGCTTTTTTAAATGAAATTAGTCTTTTAATTCACTTGGAAATTAAAATAGATGTTGACATAGTATTTTAGGGTGATGCAAATTTTCGAATTTCAAATCACTGTTACCAATGGTTTACGTCTTTAGGGGGGGCAGATTTCTAGAGTATTTATAATAGTGTAAGATAATTTCAAATAAGATTGTTATTCAGTGATCGAATATCATTTTTATTTGATAATAAATAGATATCTAGAACAACGAACGATATTGCTTAATAATCGTGAAGTAGAAGTTTGTGGATATGTCCATGATGCATTGCATTATTCCCGAATACGGTATCTCGTCAAGTCCTGAAAAACCTTGACTACATGTAATTGTATTTACCGATGGTTAATTATGGCAGTGAATTCGGACTGGTTTACAGAATATATGAACATTTCCGTTCCTTATGGGAATCGTTTATTCTTATATTTTGTTGAAGTTTTGATCATCATTAATCTCCCTTGTAGTTTCTCAGTCTATAATACAACAGCCTTCTTTCTCCCTCATCCAGTTATCACAGTTTATTTATAAGGATTCATCTTCTGAAAAGCGACTTCATTCGATTGTCAACCTTATGGTACATTGAGAATGGAATGACACACCTATATGATCTGGATCTTTTCTACTTGCACTCAGCATATGAAACTGATTAATAAATATAAATTTCTACATTCATAAATGATACTTATAATGGGAGCTTCCTGAATAATGAATATATTTAATTCTTCGTTATTGAGTATTAAGATCTCTAAATGAATGGTTTCTTTGCCGGTGAATACAGATTTTAGTGTAAAATTTCACTAATTTTACTGATTACAAATTGATACACCGGTTATACCTTTTATCATAATGAATGTTTTAGTCTCTTAGTTTATTGCGATATGATTTGTATAACAGTTGTTTGTCAATTTTCAATTGACTATATATTCGTTAAATACCTTTTGATTCTACTTATGTGCCACCGTTGACAAATAATTTTATCTGCACCTTTTTCCCTGATCTTAATTGTTAGTTCGATAAAAAATTTGGTTTTTCTTTTGTGAAAATCATTTAACAACTGTAGGTATGAAGTTTTCATCAGTGAATTCTTATATTCATCTTGTTTCTACTTTGATGAAATACATATTACCAGCTGATTAGTTATTATTTTGGAATAGCTACTAAAATCTAAATAATGCAATGAGATTACGAAGTTTATTAGAATTATGTGATATATTTGCTAATTTGTAGTGTTATACGATAGCCTTCAAGGACGTATACTAAGGTTTCTTTGAAGCATTGGCTATTCAGAAATTGAAACCTTCTTTATGTGTTCAAAAACAATTTGTCCTTACACTTAGCCTTCCCTGGTAATACTATTTTATTATCCAGAGTGGTAATCACATTTGTTTTTATGTACTTGAATATATTTTTTCCTTGTTATGACTTACCTTTAACCTGTCTAGTTAACCTTTTAGTTTTCATATTAAAATGTCTTAACAAGTATATGTTTGATCAAATTGTTTGAAACGTATTGCGCAAATATATCGCACAATCTTGATACCCTTCGTCTACTCATTGCATTATCGAAATTCATCAAAGGGACTAATTGTTTTAACTACTAAAAGTTTAGATATTTTCAAAATGCAAATCTCGAATGAATCAACATTTTATTTCATTATAATAAATACACATCTTCAATTGAATTTATGCAGAAAACCCACTAATATATTTCGTCATTTTTCATAAAAAAGAAAGAATTAATGAACAATTTCTGATTTGATTTTCACTTATTATTCATTTCTGTTTGTGTTTATCGACCATATGGACGAGTGAATCGTCTACGATGGACATAAAACACCTTGTTCTTATCTAAATTTTCTAGATCATTTGGATACCATTTTTGTTTAGTTCCTTGAATATCCAATCATTGGACGCAGAAACAGTGTTCATTCATTGAACATATGAATGAAAAGAAAAGAGATGAAAATATTTATCAAAAAATAACAACAGTGGTGTTTCATTTCATGACATTTATATATATACGGGGTGGCTTATTTCTGACATATAAGTTACACAAAAAGACTTAATAATCCAGAAGATTTGGGCATTTTACAGATTAAATCAGCAATAGTAAATTGATGTAGGAACCATCAAAATAATTCAAGGTTTTTCCAAAGAGAGGCGAGTGGTCGGAACGTTTCATATAATGCTAAATCCCTATGCCCTCAATAGGAAAGGTCTGAAGATTCATTCAACCTAGACTGTTTATTCAAACAACAACATGTGACCCTATTTATTTTACATAGAAGCTACACACGCGCACGCACGCACATAATTTCAACCCAACTACTTCATATTACAAATACATACATTTTTCATACACACATTCCAAAGCACAAATTAATAGTGACAAGTCATCAGAAATTCACGTTAACTAACGATGACTTGACACACACATATTCAAATCTATTGTGATTTTGATTGTACAAAAAATATTCTGTATTGTTTCCTTTTTACTATTTAAACTTGTGTTAAACGTATTCAGCTATTTATTTGCTCTGTAGAAGTGGCTTACATTAAGTTATGAAACGTCAGAAATACAATTTTCTACTTATTGGGATATAACAAAAATTATGTTGATTATTAGCTTTCTATCCAATGCTCAATTTGTTTGAAACTATCAAGTCCAACCTTGATATTGATATCTATAAAGATAATATTTAGGGAATTGTTATTAAGTTAACAGATTACATTTTCAGTAACTTAGTTGAACATATTTGGTTAAAAGACAGATAGAAACAACAGTTAACTAAAAGCAAATAGATGTATATTGATGATAAACATGTAAGAATGAATTGATTATAACCGTAGTTGGTTTGATAGTGAAACTAACGAGATCAACTGGATTAAGTTACTGTGAACACGGAGATTCGGTTTACCTAGAAGGATGTTGTTGGTTTCAACGTTTCTGTGAATATGAAAAATTCATATAAACGATCAATGTTGCTTTTAATCGGACTTTAATCAGACTTTCATTTACAATAATATTTATGTGCAAAAGCCCAGCAAGGCAATTTGTGAATCATTGACGACTATGAAGATGGACTGCGTAACTAATCACAATAAATAAATAATACATAGTGATATTAGAGTGAAAGATAATAATAAATAGTCTGACAATGTATCTAAATATACTGAAATAGAAAGTAGGTCAAAGCTTGAAAAAAACTAAAATAATAGGTATTAAAGATTACGTAGTGAGAACTATGTGTATAATCAGTCAAAGAATAAAAAGATACAGACGGGTAGTGGAAAGAATTAGTAATATCTTCTGTTATGTTTCCTTACGTCAAGGAAGAGACGGAGATATTGCAGGCTTTTTTTAAATACAAGGAGTAGGTGATTTAGCTCGAATCTCCATAACTTTCGTCTTATGCAAGAGACCGGAGCCAACAATAATCTGAAAATTTAAAGATATTCGATAACTTATTATAAATGTTGTAGTTCTATCTACTACATGACCACCATCGATCAAGTGCAACAAAGTTGAGATGTTAAATAAATTCATTCCAAAAATTAAAATCACAATTTTGTCTAAAGACAAAATGGCATAACTATACCATCGTTAAACCTATAGAAATAAAGAGTTCAAATGGAAAGTCAGCAAAATTGTTTAGTAACCTTTTTTTAAGAATTAATATAAGTGGATCATTTGCACCATATTCAAGATTTCTATCAGTACCTATAACAAAAGATCTTGAAATGATTTATTTATTCAAACGTAAAAAAATTACTACATTTCAAAATCAAATTGAAACTTACCAAACGCAGAGTGTTTTGCTTTACTATCCAGAATATCTATCATGTGATCATCTGACATGTAAGGATATGTAAGATATAGCCCATTTTCTGACTGATATATATCATCATCCATATGTCCAGTAGATAATACAAACAGATATAAAACTATTAATAAAATGTAATAAATTTTCATTCTTCTTGTAGTTTTATTTCCTTTATTGAATTATTGTTTTCTAAAGGTTTGTTGTTTTTTGAAAAAAAAAACAGAGAAAATAGGAAATTCGATTATTACGAAGTTTAGAATTGTGGAGTATCGATTGGCTGTCAGGAACCCCTCTGATGATACTGCCTGCCTTGGGCCCAAATAAAGGGAGAGGCTTGGGTTTAGGACTAAAAATTCCATCTTGTAACAAGGAATCACGCAAAAACAACAAAAAATGCTAACCAGCGGCAAACAGTTTAACCGATTGAACGTCACCCTGAAAACCGGGAGATATTCACTTAGAAAAGTTATGATGCCTGATGGCAAAAGGCGTGGGTTCGACACTGATGAGCAATAACAAGTAAATGTAAACGGAACGTTCAGACCATATAGGGAACCGTGAGGGTCATTCAGATAGTCGTAAAGATGAGAAGATACAACCTCTTTGTGCTTATAAAACGTAAAACTCACTTAATACAACCCAGATAGAAACGAATAACTTCAGGAGAGCTGCTATTGTATTCTGGTAAAGAAGAAGTGCAAGGAGTTGCACTAATGATCCCTAAATAAACGTTAAAAGAGCTTACAGAGTGAATAAGTCATGGTTCCAAGGTTATCAGGACGTCATTCAAAGCAAAGAAAAAGATTACACTGAATATCATCCAGTGCAACGCACTCACCAATGATAGCAATAAATTCTATAAAGAAAAGTTTTATGAAAGGCTGCAACCTATTGTATAGAACAGTCCAGGAAAAGGCTTGACTATTCTGATGGGGTAGTTGAACGCCCTTTTCAGTATGAACAACAGTTTGTTCCAACGCAATGTGTGGCAAAATGGGCTGGGAGAGATAAATTAGAATAGTGTAGGGATGATAGATAGATGTGCTCTCAAAAAACATGGTTATATGTGGTAACGTTTCCTCTCACAAACGCATGGAATAATTTATATGGGTTTCACCAGAGAATAAGATTGACCACAAATGCATGAATAAAATATTCAGAAAATCTGTGGAAAATGTAGGAACAAAGAAAGAAACAAATACAGCTCTATAGTTACTCTGGACAAGATTTAAGAAGGGAAAGTCAGGAAGACAATAGTAATCAACAACAGACGAACATGAGAAAAGAAAGTCTGGAAACTGGGTGACTGAAAAAGGACTTTGGAGCCAACAGGCGGAAATATGTAGAAGACCTGGGAACAATAACAGAAACAGCAGCAAGAGAAGGAAATATGACAGGAATATATTTTATAACTAAGAAGATATCAGGGAAATATTGCAAATGAGAGCGACCAGTCAGGTAAAAAAGGGAAATCTAATCATTGTGTTTTAAGAGTGACGGAACTGATAGGTTGAAGATTTTAAAGAGTTCTTGAATTGACCAACCCCAGTGAACCTACGGGATACTAAAGTGACTCACGCAAACCTTCCTATAAACATCACTCCACCAACAATAGAAGAAATTAGCTGGGCAATTGAACAAATCAAGAATAGTAAAGAAGACCGATTAAATAGCCCACCAGCAGAAACATTGAGGTTAGATATAAGGGTAACAGTGAAGATGTTCTAAATCCTCTCCAGAAAGATTTGAGAGTAAGAGCAAGTACCAGCAGACCTGAAAGTGTGATGTATCATCAAGATACCAGAGAAAAGCAAATCTTAGTAAGATTAAGAATTTCAGAGGATACAACTGAACTACTTGGAATTCTTAGATGGCTTAAGTCCTATATCTCATATACAGAAGCAGATGCAGCTGAAAACAGCCAGTGTAGCTGCAGTGTCTGTAGCAGTAAGTCTCAACAATCACAAGGGAAATAGCAGTTTCATGAAGTGTAAAAGAACAAGCAACGGCCAACTCACACGACACTGAAGCTCTGAAAGAAGTGAAAGCCTTCATATATCTGGACAGTACCATTGATAGACAAGGAGAGTGTGGTGGAGATGTGGATCAAATGCAGTATTCCTACAAATTAGGAGTACCTCGAAACCAAAACATTTGTCAGCAACAACAAATGAGAATTTTCGATACAAAAGTTCAGTTATTTGTATTGTACTGAGCTGGAACTAGGATAACTAATGCAACCGTTGTCAGAAACGTGTAGATATTTATAAACAATTGTCAACGCAAGATACTCCAGATCCATTGATTATACGCCTTTTATAATCATCAACTGTGGTAAAGAACTATACATCTTTCAGTTGATTAGAAAACCAGTAAAGTGCGTTGCGAAGCAGTGCTTATTGGCAATTGTTATTATTCTTAGATAGAATAAAACTTTTGGTCTTACTCTTCAAATTCATTATAATTAAGACATTTTGATGTTATAAAACTCTATGAAACATTCTTAAAGGTAGGAAAATTGTGTAGATGATGAAAGGAAGAAAATGTTTTTTTATTATTAATCTGTGTTAATTATTGTAACCTTTTGTTTTTATGCTGCAGAACTACTTCTATTCAATTCGTTGTTTCTCTATAAATAAATATCTCAACATTATAATGAATATTTTGTTTGTATGTTTGTTTGAATCTTCCCATTGATATTTAGGACTGTAATTGATCAGTCTCTTATTGGCATATGTGCATCCTGTGCGGAATGTCTCAACATTGCCTTGAGTCACAGGTATCATAAGTGGAAATCGATTGTAGTTAGCAGTGGAATCCAAGACGGGATGATGTTTGAAGCAAACAGTACTAGGTTTGAGTTCCGAAATAAACATCAAATCTGGAATGCAGGTACATCCATTTGACAATTCCCAAATAGGATGAAACTCACCTCCTGGATTCCACTGCTAGCCACCATCCACTTTTGCTCATAACGAATGTTATATTTTCCGATTTTAATACTAAATGGAAGTTTATTATATCGAAAATTGATTTGGGTTTTGAAGTTTACAAAATGGATATATCTGATACATTCAATAATGATCACAGTTTAAATGAACCTAAATTAAGCTAGAAATAATTTCTTATCATTGCCAATTAGTAATTAACCGATTGGTTATTAACTATGACTGTAAAACTTGATGAAATAAGGATGAATCATATCAGTTCATCAAAGATTCCAGGTATCGTTTAGTAATAGATACTAATTGGTAAGAAAATCTATATTTAGTGTAGCATTCCAATTGTTTCCAATCTTTTAACTTCAGAGAACTGGAATTATTTATTTTAGTAAAAAAACTTACTTGTTAATAATTATGTTATTCTGTAACTTAACGCATAATTTCTTAAAAAACATAAATTCTCATAATTAATATTTAATTAACCACTTGTTTACAGTGTTATTATCAATTTTTAACTCTCACACCTAAAAAAGGTACCATTTACATAGTTTTTTTCTTTAACAATTTAAAGTAATAGATAAACTAACCTGTTCTTTTATATTCTTTAAACTGTAACCAAAAAAGCAATATCTAGAACTAATATATATATATATATATATATATATATATATATATATATATGATGTTCAGCAGTAACCACAGCAACTAATAAATTTTACTAGTTATAAGTAGTTTCCTTTCTCTCTAATGTATACAACATTGGTTGGTACTATGAGAAATATTTGAAAAAAAAACCTATCATAATAATTAGGCATTTAGAAAAAAAAGTGATTACTTATATTAAGTAAGAATTAAAATATTTGATAGGAGAGTAAGAAGATGATAAGAAAAAAACTGAAGGTGTTATCGGTTTTTTTAACATTTTTACAAATGAAGTTTTTCATTATTTTTATCATAGAAGTTTATTATTATTTTTTTTAATAATAGAAATCTTGACTTCAACATTGACTGGAATGGATATGATAAAACTGAATGATTACTATATATAAAACAAAAGTTTTAACTCCTGAATTTAACTATTAAGACGATAAGATATGTAGTACTATTTTAATTCCAACAAGTAATAACACAGTAAAAAGGTAGGTATTGTTTGAAATGCAAACCGTGTATTTGAACATCAAATATTGAGAATCTAACTCCAAATTATGCTGATTTAAAGCAGTAATTGTGTAAAGGCGACGTACGATAATATTTATAAAAAACGAATATCGCTATTGACTTGCCACTAGCCAGATGAATAACGTTGGTTACAATATGATTTAATCCATGGACAAAAACATTGACAGATTTAAAAACTGTGAATTTTCTCACTGTTTTACAAAGAGAAGCGAACTACACTGCAAAGTGGTGTATGGAGGACAGCTGGAAAACACATAACAAGTGAGGAATGAAGTCAGACAAGGCTTTTTAATCACCCTTTTTCTCTTTCTTCTGGTGTTTGACTGGATTATAAAGAACTCGACATCTGAGGGGAAGTATGCCAAAAAATGGACAGCTTGGATGCAACTAAACTATTTGGGCTTTGAAGATGACCAGCTATTCTATTCCTTATACACCAAAATACCCAAGTCATGAAAACCAGTGTAGCAGAAGCCTCTACATCAGTAGGCCTCAACATACACAAGGGAAAAAGCATGATCCTCAATTATAACACAGAGAGCACGAGATATGGAAACCTTCACGTATCTGGTCAGCATCATCGGTGAATGAAGAGAATATGATATAGACGTAAAGAAAAAGGCAGCACTTTTACAATTGAAGAACATTTGAAACTCAAAACAACTGTTAACAAAAATCAGACGACCGTCAAGACAGTTCTACTTTATAGAGCTGAAACTTGGAGAACTACAAGTGAGTACAAGTATTTATAAATGATTGTCTGCACAAGAGACTGAATGTCCATTGGTTGGATAACGTCAACAACAAATTAATGTGGCAGAGTACCAGTCAAATTCCATCTGAAGAGGAAGTTAGGAAGGGATGTTGGAGGTGGATAGGACACACAAGCGTAAATAAATAAGTCTACAGAAACGATAAAATTGTTTCCAAGGCTATCTTTTAATTTCTCGAGCTTCAACCTTATCTTCTTGTACAAGTCATTGCTCTGTGATTAACAATTTCACTCATAAAATGCCCAGTTTATTGATCAATAGCTTAAATAAGTTATTAGTTTATTATCAGAAAACG